TTTTTTGTTTTTTTTATCTTGCAGATAAAAACCTAGAGAACGCGGAGGAGGCGGCGGAGCAGTTCAAGTTAATCCAGGCGGCCTATGACGTGCTCAGTGACCCGCAGGAAAGAGCCTGGTGAGCAGGGAACCGGCCTGGGGAAAGAAAGAGCGTTTTGCTTCTGCCTCAGCCGGGGCTCGGGATTTGCTGCTGGCACGGGGCTGTGTGGGCACAGCAGCCGCCGGGGCTGCGGGAGGGAAGCACGTCTGCACCCCCGGGCCTCTTGCTGGGCTGGGGGCACCAGTGCCGGGCCCTGCGGCTTCCCCAGGGAGCAGGGAGGCCCAGGTGGGCACGGAGCTGCCGGCACCGCCGGCCCTGGGAACCCGCAGTGCCGTGTCGCTGTGGCCGGCCCCATCCGAAGCAGGCTTCTTTAAACGTTCATCTAGCTTGTTTTTCAAATAGGCTAAGAGATCTGCTGGGTTATGCAGCCGAAAGCACCTGTAGGAGGCTTGTCCTTGAAAGGAAAGTGCTGTTTCCAAAGCTGTACGTGCTGATGTGCGATTTGGGGCCTTTTTTTGGTGCGTTTGTAAATACTGGATGGTTTAAACAATACTCTACCCGCTTCTGAAAGCTTATTGAAGCATTTCGATCAAATGTTAAGAAATTGCTGTTGCAGGTATTGCAGATAAAGTAATTATAAGTGAGGTAAAGAGAGAGTATTTACTAAGTTACCTTTTTTTCTCTCTGAAGGTTTTGGTTATGAGACACAAATTCCATACACTGAGCTAAGCTGTACATCCAGGAGCTATGTGTACTGTTTCAGCTTACCAGCACTGGGGGATGTTCTGTGTCTCCACAATCTTTACACTGTGCATTTTCCCCAGGTATGATAATCACAGGGAGGCCCTGCTGAAAGGAGGAGTTGATGGAGACTATCAGGATGATAGTTTGGATCTGCTGCGCTACTTCACTGTCAGCTGTTACTCTGGATACGGAGATGATGAAAAGGTAATGAGTTAATTCATCTTTAATGAATCAATTTAAAATTGCACATGGAAGAAAAGGAGGTTATCAGGAGTAGCCAGCATGGATTCACCACGGGGAGATGTTTGACTAATCTGGTAGCCTTCTGTGATGGTGTGACAGAATGGGTAGATGCAGGGAGAACAGTGGATGTCTTCCTCGGCTTCAGCAAGGCTTTTGACACTGTCTCCCGTAACACCCTTGTGGATAAGCTCAGGAAGCAAAGGATGGAAGAGTGAACAGTGAGATGGATTGAGAACTGGCTACACCATAGAGCCTAGGGGGTTGTGATCAATGGTGCACAGTCCAGTTGGAGACCTGTGGCTAGTGGTGTTCCCCAGGAGTCAGTGCTGGGTCCAGTCTTATTCACCATCCTCATCAACGACCTGGACAAGGGGACAAAGTGTATCCTCAGCAAATTTGCTGATGACACAAAATTGGGAGGATTGGCTGATACACCTGAAGGCTGTGCTGCCATCCAGTGAGATCTAGACAGACTGGAGAGCTGGGCAAAGAGGAACCTCATGAGGTTCAACAAGTGCAGAGTCCTGCATCTGGGAAGAAAACACCGTGGACCAGTATAGATTAAGGGTTGACCTGCTAGAAAGCAGCCCTATGGAGAAGGACCTTGGGATCCTGTTGAACAAAAAGTTATCTGTGGGACAACAATGTGCCTTTGTGGCCAAGAGAGCCAGTAGTATCCTGGGATACTTGATCTGTGGCCAACAGATCAAGTTCTCCTCCCCCTCTGTTCTGCCCTAGTGAGACCACATCTGAAGTATTGTGTCCAGTTCTGGGCTCACCAGTTCTGGAGGGACAGGGAGTTACTTGAGAGAGTCCAAAGGAGGCTACGAGGATGATTAAGGGACTGGAACATCTGCCTTGTGAGGAAAGGCTGAGAGACCTGGGACTGTTTAGTCGAGAGAGGAGAAGACTGAGAGGTGATCTTATTAATGTCTACAAATATGTAAAGGGTGGATATCAAGAATGGGCAAGTCTCTTTCCAGTGGTGCCCTGTGATAGGAAGAGGAGAAAAGGCAACAGGTTGTAACACAGGAAGTTCCACCTCAACTTTAGGAAAAACTACTTTACGGTGAGAGTGATGGAGCCCTGTGACAGGCTGCCCAGAGAGGTTGTGGAGTCTCTTTCTCTGGAGACTTTCAAGACCCATCTGGGTGTGTTCCTGTGTGACTGACCTAGGTGTTCCTGCTGCAGCAGGGGGGTTGGACAGAATGATCTTCAAAGTTCCCTTCCAACCTCTATGATTCTATGATGAAAAAATGAATAGAACAACAGTCCTTGGGGAAGATATGCTTCCTATAATTGCATTCCCTGTTGGATTTTAAGATACTCATTGTAACTTAAAAAGCACCAGGTGATCAGAAAAACCTTTGCCAGAGAAAATCTTTGTCTTTTTGTTAATATCCTACCAGTGAGTTAATAGCATCTTAATTTAAAAAGAGATAGGATATTTCATAGCAAATATTCTATTTGGACCTTCCTCAAAGTTGGTTCTGTGTAACCAGAGACTTACCAACATCTCCAGCATGCTGGAACTTCTGATTTTCGTTTAGATTTGAGTACTGGTGCTTGATATGTGAGTCTGCACAAAGGAGATGGAAATAAAAGGAATGCAAGAGAATGGGAACTTGGTTAAGCAGAAGAAGGGTCTTGCTGTCTAGAGGCAGGACTTACAAGGCCCTTACCCTTCATGCTGGGTTGCTGTACACTCCTGTAGCTGAGCATTTGTACATCTATTACTGAGCCATGCAAAATGAGTCAGAAGTTTTGTTTTTTTTTTTTTTTAATTTCAGGGATTCTTTACAGTCTATCAGCAAGTTTTTGAAAAGATTGCAAAAGAAGAGATGGAATACATGACCCAGGAAGATACTGAAGAATTCCCTATGTTTGGAAATTCCCAAAGTGACTATGATACGGTAAGAGTAAGTGTAAATCTGAACTGAAAGTCACACAGTTAAGTCATTACTTTTTCTTACACTGACATCAAAGGGAAGCCTCCTGTTGATCTTTGAGGTGATACAAAACTGTGTATTTGCTGTCTTCTCTACCACTGTACACCGTGAGTATAAAGGAAGTGGTTGTGTTCTGATTCATAATATTTAGGTGAATCAGAAAGAGTATTTCCTGTTGAACTGTATTATTACCCAAGCTTCTAGGGCAAGTTGTCAGATAGGCACTTCACAGGGCTAATCCTCAGTTATGACACTGAAACTTAAGTGTAGTGTCTGTAAAACAAAAGAGCAGATTATTTCTTTGCTGCTTGGACTAGTTGACCAGTTTTTTGATGCAAGATACATCACAGAAAGGGATACTGAGTTTTTGTCTTGCCTTATTTAGGAAAACTGCATAGCACTTGCTTCATAACATAGCCTTTAGAAAACAGGAGAAGTAGTCAGTCACAAAATAGTTTAGGTTGGAAAGGACCTTAAAGATCTAGACCAAGTAAGATTTAATTTCCAAACTACAGTACCTTTGGGAAGCAAGAAAAGAATGTGTGTGGGATACTTAAAATCTGCTTTGCCAGGAATTTGCTGTATTCCATCAGACCTGGAAGTTTTGATTTCTAAGGTTACCAGTATTCCTGTGTTGAAATTAAATAGTAAAGTAATAGTACTTTCCCCAGTGAATAACTGCACAGAGTGTACTCAAATGTTGCTCCTAGTCTGCTACTTCTCTGTTTTACTTTTAGTAGGATTGTACTGTATGACTAATTATTTATGAAATTTAAATTGAGACATACCTTAAAAATTAGTAACTTTGATGATACAAAACTTCGCTGGATTTGGAAACAAACTAAGAAGTGTCAGAATGGGTATTTGTATGTTAGGTAAAATTACAGGGTCACTTAACAATTGGAAATCTTTCCCTGTGTGAGAATTTTTAGTGTCTCTGGAACTGCTAGAATCTGTCTTTTTATGGATTTAAACACTTTTTGGAAACTTTGTTTTGAGACCACGAAGATTATAGTCTGTGCATCCTTCTGCACAGAAAGGTATCTCATCTGAAGCAGGAATCTGAGACAGGGAGTCTAATCTCGCTTCAGTTATTGGATTAAATATAAATATTTATTGGTTATTATAAGGCTAGGTTTTTGTGATTGCAGAGAAAAACTGTAGTAACTTGCCTGCCACAGCCATGACCCTTTGGAGAGGTTAGAAAACATTAGAAATTACTGCGGAGGTGTTGATGGTTGTAGTCCATGTGAGTACCAATGGCAGAAGGAGGAGAAGACACTAGAGCAAGAGATATTAAAGATAAAATACTTCTATGAAGTACTCCAGAATATAAGCAATAGTGCTTGTAGGAGTAAGTAGTAACAAGGCAGCTTAATGGGGCAAGTAATGTAGGAATGGAGTTTACATGTATCTTATGTTCTGAAGATACAAAATGCAGAGGATTAATAACTATTTGGAGAGGAATAGAGAACAATCAAAACAATAATTATTCCATTTTACTAACTCAGCATTTACTCATGAACAGCAGAAGGAAGGAGAGTAAGAAAAGTTAATTTACTTTTTCTCTTGATGTGGGAGGTAGGGGGGCATCATTTTAACCTGCAGTCATATGATTTGCTAAGAAAAGACGAGTCAGTGCATCTTCAGAGCCTTCCTTGTCCCTTGTGCAAGTCTCAGCTCAGTGCTGTTGTGTATGCCACCAATTTGTTAAGAAAATACATATTAAACAAATTCATGAAAGAAAAATCCGTCAAGGGCAATTAATTTCTGTTTTGCTCTGGAAGCAGAGATAATACATGGGGAAGAAATAACCTTATGTTCATAGTGTTTGTCTTGTTGCTTTGTGCTGGTCATTGGCTGCTGTTGGAAGTGCAGGGCTTACCTGTGGTGTCATTTGGTGAGCTGATTCTTAGGCAATGTGTTCATATCCCTGCTTGCAGGCAGTGTTCTGGTTCTGGTTGTGCTTTTCAGCACAACAAAGTAACTGGGCCCTCCTGTCAGCGTGACGCAGTCCTGAAGGGGTTACTTTTTAGAAGTTGAGGTTTGGAATAGTTTAGACAAGGTTGTTGATTGGCACAGTTTGAAATTTTAAATGCAATGTAAAAGGTTTGTCTAAACCTCATGTGACTTACACTCTGAGGGAAAACTGTGGCCTTTATAGAAGAGAGAAAACTGCTTTGAAAGTCCTGAATTACTTGGTATGGGTTTTGTACCCCCCAAAAAAATAGTGACTTGTTTTTATATATATATTTATATTTTTTTCCTCACAGGTAGTTCACCCTTTCTATGCATATTGGCAGAGTTTCTGTACTCAGAAAAACTTTGCTTGGAAGGAAGAGTATGACACACGACAAGCCTCAAACCGCTGGGAGAAACGTGCTATGGAAAAAGAGAACAAGAAAACAAGAGAGAAAGCAAGGAAAGAGAGGAATGAACTGGTCCGTCAGCTAGTAGCATTTATTCGTAAAAGGGATAAGAGAGTACAGGCTCACAGAAAACTTGTAGAAGAACAAAATGCAGAAAAAACTAGGAAAGCAGAGGAATTTCGGAGGCAGCAGAAGCTCAAACAAGCGAAGTATGTAAATGTGGAAGAAAACTTCTAAACTTGGAGAAACTATCCTTCAGGATACCATATTGAGTTAGGTTCTAGTAATAGCCCCACTTGCTCTTTTAAGCACCCTTGAGAATTTTATGTATAGATTTTGGTCTCAAGTCTGAGCTTGTTAAAGTTTGACTGTCTCTGCATTGTGCTGACGTGTAGAGACCCAGGATAACCAGGGAATTAGTTACCTGAGTGGTGCAGGTAGCTCACTGTATTAGCACAGAATCCAGTGTGTTTTTACTTGCCTGGCGAAGTAAGATTTACTTGTTATAGTTATATAGTTATAATTGTTCTTTTAAAGGAAAAATAATGTATGTTTTGGAATGAGGGAGAACGGGACTATGACAGTCTGGACTTAGATCAGCTTCCTCTGCCTAGGAACTGTACCCGGTAAAAAGAAAGTGGGGAAAAATGAACTTAGGTTTGCTTTTCCTTTTAATTCTTCATAAAGGACCCTCTCATTGGACTGAATGCATTTTTTTAATGCTTTTATTTTTCCCCAAATGAAGTAGAAGGAAGATGTGACTTCCCCAAGTGTTAGCATGATTTTTTTCTTCTAACTAGAAGAGCTTTTGGTCTGCAAATGGGAGGGAGGAGCATAAATTCTTATTAAGAATTACAAAACTATATACAGAATATAATATGTACAATTTATTTGTATATCATTTTTTTTCCCTGAAAGGAGAACAAAGCAGAGTTATGCTTTTAGTGACAAATGACTTGATCATTCTGAGCCCAGGAGCCAGCTGGAGCAAAATGCAGCTCTCCTGTGGTGCACTGATGGGTAACTTGGGCCATACTTAGATTTGGAAAACTGACCTGGTACGTTCCCATAGCGCAGAGTCAAGGAGCAATGTGGTTTTTGTGGTTCTGTACTGTTTGTGGATTTGGATGTTGCAGCAGGTAAAGGCAGCTGTGCTGCTTTGAGGATTGAGTTGACTTCCCTGCAGTCAGCCTGATCCTGACCCTGCTGCACAGCATTTCCTGCCAGAGGTTCTTGCAGGACCCACCTGCCTGAATATTTCCTCATTTGTAGTGTAGATGTGCCCATCACAAACTAACTGCTCAGATTTCTAGGCCCTACAGACAATTGTTTGTTCCATCATAATAATGTTCAAGACTTTCCTCCTGAAGTACCAGAGAGCAAACTGTCTTTTAAATAATGCCGTTTCTGTAATTCCTGTATCATGTATGCAATGTACAAGTTACTGTATTATTCTTCTTAAAGGCTTGCGGAGCAGTATAAAGAACAGAGCTGGATAACTATGTCAGATCTGGAGAGAGAGTTGCAAGAGATGGAGGCACAATATGAAAAGGAATTTGGAGATGGATCAGATGAGGAGGAATTAGACGAACAGGAGACAAAAATCATCGAAGGTATGGGGGGCAAGGGAGCGATCTATATTGACTCGTTGCAGCCTGAGTATCGACTCACAGCACTTACAGCCCCAGTCACAGGTCTGACTGCAGTGCCAGGCTCTGCCTCCAGGTGAGCTATGCCAGTCTGGCCATCTCTGCCCTTTTCCTTTGAACGTAGGACATCAGGCTTCAGCTGTTAATTCTTGCTGATGTGTGGTTTGTTGAGGTAGTCTTGATCCGTTTGTGTGTCAATAATAGTGAAGAAGTTAACTGTCAGTGTTGTAACTGTTCACTGGGGCTTTAAGAGCAGCTGATGCAAAAATTACTCCTCTGACTTGGTCTCTCTGATCCCCACTGATCTCTTCAGACAACCTGAATGATGAGACTGAAGAAGCTGAGTTTGTTGATGGTCTGTACTGCCCTGCTTGTGACAAACTTTTAAAGACTGAGAAAGCGTAAGTGCTTTTGGGCGGGGATTTGGGGTTGGGGGTGTTGGATTTTAGCTTTTGTTAAAATGTGGTTTTAAGATTTTTTCATTTCACATAGTGGTCAGTGTTGTCTTTCCAGTAGAGACATTGTCAGGGCAGAATTTTCCATACTTGGTAGTGATGGATAATGAGCCTGTTACTAATTTATATGTAAATAGAACAAGGTTTGCTCAGAGCTACCTGCGGTAATGACCTGTTGGTCTTCACAGCATGAAGAACCATGAAAAGTCAAAGAAGCATCGGGAGATGGTCGCACTCTTACGACAGCAACTGGAAGAAGAAGAAGGGAAATTTCCTGTGTCTTTGGATGATGCAAATGGAATACAAACCAAAGAGGAGGAAGAAACAGAAGATACGCCCAAGCAGAAGTACTTTAAATGTTTTAATTTTATGGTGACTAATGATATAAAAAGTCTTCGAGGCCATCAGAGGCAGCACTCAAGAGTATTAAAATACTTACTAGCACCAGAGTTCCAGTAAAATGCATGCATTAGTATGACTTGTTTCAAATGTGGTAGGATAATAGAATCATAGAATCATAGCATATTTTTTTCTCTGCTTCTTAAATTAGATACTAAGGAAACATAGTGTTTGTTATTTTTCAAACAGGAGAGCTTGCACAGGGCCAGTCTCTATTGTATTTGTACTTTTCTGGTACTTTTTGTCAGTTGGGTGCTGGCACACACAGAAAATGAGGGTGCTTAAAATGACAATCGATGACCTAAGTTGCATACCTTCATTTTTTTGAATGGCCAAAACATAATAGCAATTCTTTCACTAGAATCTTCGTGTTCAGTTTGAGCAGAATAAATGCATTATGAAGTGCAATGAGTAGTTTAGGAGAAGTGTTGTTTTCACTTCAGGCATGAGTAATTTTCTATTTGTGGCTACTGTCTCCCTAGTATCATGTTAAGAGGATAAGCACAAATGTAACTTGGTACCTTTGTAGAAATTTTACTCATTTTTTCTTGAGGTAATTTTAAATTCTTGCCTTTACAGACTCTCAAAGAAGCAGAGGAAGAAACAGAGAACAATGATGGTAGGTAGTCATACAATGATATTCAGGGAACTTTACAGCCTTTTGTGACCTCCTAAATACTTTTTTTTTTTTTTTTTTGTCCTGAAAAATGAGAGAACTTGAAATTCCACAAAACTTGACGATTATTTTCAGATAATTCAAACCAATTTTTATTACACTTAGGATTACCATATTTTATGGTAGCAACCTCATAGAAATAGCTTTTTTCTATTTGTGCAGATCCTAATATATGTGGTGCTGGCTCTAAAAAAGGCTACAGTCTAAAGTGTAAGGAAAACAGGCGGACAGGGAGAATTCAAGGAATTGATCAGAAGGACCAGCAATGGCCTTACTGCATTAGTTGCTTAATTGTTTGGTGATCATATTCTGCTTTGGTTGCTAGAATCGGTGTAATGTATTGTTTGTTAAGCTGTAACTTAGGGGCAAAAAAAAAAAAGTAACACATTATTGGTATCCTACAGACACTGTAGTTGTTGAAATGAACACGTCCTTTCACCTTACATTTGAATTGTAAACACAAGTAACACCAACCTGTTGCACTCCAGGATCTCAGTCTGTGCATGGTGAGACAGATCTGTGCTGGGTGAACTGGAGAACTGCAAGCTGTTCCAGGCTTGACTGGCAGTAGTGTCATACTAAGCAAAACTTCTGTCTGCCTTCCTCAAGCTTGATCCTTATCAAGTCGTACCTCTTTGTTTCCTGCCTCCATCCTTGCCTTGTTCCAGTGAGTTGTCTATACCCGTTCCTGCCTCTCTCATCCTTTCCCAAGATGGTCTTCTGTCTTCCCCCAGCCTAACACCTCTCTAGTTTCCTATTATGTGTTCACCTTCGCTGCCCCCTCCCACACCATTATGATCTCTTGGCCTCAAGAAACTTCTCAGAGACATTCAAGCAACTGAATTTTTCTTGCTTCTCTTTGGTTGGTATTGCATATTCCAAGTCAGTATTGGCTTGACCACCTTATTGTCAGGCAGACCATTAGGCTTCTGTTCAGCTCTTGTCTCCTCAGATTGAAGTCAGAAGGTGTTCTTGCTGTATACAAGTTGCACGTAAGCACTGTGTCTCTCTTTAATCAGTGTGGTTATGAGATCTTCTGCAGCCCAGACAGTAGGTGCCACTCTTGCATAGCATGAGCTGGAATCTTGTGTGGAGAGATTCTTCTGGAAATATAGCATCCGTCTTCTACCAAGATTCATGGAGTGCAGGGAATCAGTATGGGGTTTTTTTTTCTTCTCCTGAAGATAGATGTATTAGGCAAGTTTTTTTTTCAGGTAGCTGAGACTGAAAAAGATACAAGAGGTGAGAAGAGTTGCATTAATGTAGTGTCAGGTCAAATTAGTTATCCTGCTTTTGGGAGCTAAGCTGTTTTGCTTCAGATATGCTGAGGGGTTAATCTTTTGCCAGACTGCATGTCTGGAGTCTACTCTGTCCTTTGGTAAATGGACAAGGCTGCCAGTGTTTCTGATGTTACAGAGGGAAAATGCTGTGTGTCTGCCTAGCTTTTGTCAGCTTAGTTACTTTGGCTTAAATGCTATAATGTAGGTGTCTGGCACAGAAAACTTCCATCTAAGTAATTAACATTCTTCAAAGTTGTAAGCAAAGCTGTTGTTTATAATGTGAAATGGTAGCCAGAACAGAATGAACCCAGAGTACCTTCATTTTCCTCTTCCATACTTTTAGGGGCCTCTTCTGTAGTTTTAGAAGCTGTTTTGTTGATGTTTCTTCCCTTCATCATAGGTGGCCTCATCTCTGAAAACAGGAAAACTAAGGTTTTACCTGTTAAAATGTCACTGAAAACACAGTAAGATTAAGAGGGTCCGTGGCTTTGTATTCTCCCCACTCACCCATGTGTGGGGTAAAGGAGGTGTAATACTATAATCACTAATGAACCTGCAGTAGTTAACTTGCATTTCTTCTGTTTGTCAGACTTATGAGGACTCTCTTGACAAAAGTGCTGATGAAGAAACAGTTGAACGGAAGGAGGTGCCCTGTGTGGATAAGGACAGTGGCTCAGCAGAAGAGCTGGTGAATGATGGCCAAAGGTGTGCTGAGCCAGAGGACACAAGCACGACAGAAGATGTCAGCCAAGTGAAAGAAGCAACAACTGAAGCCAAAAGGTGCAGTCGCTGTATCACTCTGGGTCATATTTGATACTGTCAAACGAGTCTACATTATTCACCAGTGTGAACTGGGAGCTACTCCACTATTCAACCAGAGTGGAATAAATGTGATACTAAGAGGATCTACTTCAGAAATGGTGTTTGACTGTAGATGTCTTCCCCATCATGTAGCAGTAGCAGATTTGTCATCTAGCCGGATCTTGAGATCAAAAATTGATCACATAAATAAAATGGTTTTATATTTTTGCTGGAAGCACTTGCATTGTTTCAGGTGAAGGAAGAACAGGGAAGCAGCAGAAACACTGGTGATGGAGAACTATCAGAAGCTCTCAAATGTTGAATGTTCTTGTGCACTGATCTTGGTGTCTCTTTGTTTATCAGCAGTACTAAGCCAAAAGGGAAAAAAGCCAAAGATGCAAAAAAGTCTGCCAAGGCATCTTCTGAGCAGCCAGCGGTACGTCAAATTACTTATGCTATTGAAAAACTACTGGTAATGTTACTGCAGACAAGATTGGTAGCTTGATTGCTTCAGCCCACAGCTTCTGTTTCAGTTTGTTTTATTTTTTTAATAATGCAGGTGGTTTTATTCCTGTGATTTTGTTAGAAACTAAGAGACTTGGAACATCAGTTCATATCCTCAGAGAGAAGAGCAGGACCAAATTAAGTTCTAAGAGAGCTGCTAAAGCTCTGCATCCAGGGCAGTCCAAACCATATAAATTAAACAACTGAAGACACCTATTATCATCAGGCAGGTGACAGACAATACCATTTGTATGTTTCCCAATATTGGTGCTTCCCAGAAAGAGAGAGATCCTGTGTAGTAACTCCAGCTAAGACAGATTAAATTATCTAAATCTCAGAGCCCAAAGTAGTAAGTGTATAGTCTTTTTTTTCTTTTGATCAGGAGAGATCGATAGTATTCTTTATATTGACTTAGACTTTCAAGGCTTCTAGTTCTTCGTTCTACTTAGTAGTATTTCAGGAAGTCATATTTGTGATTATTTAAAAAAAGATAAATAAATATGTATTTAATTATTAATCAGCAAAGGAGTACTTATGATAGAATGAGGTTATTCACGTTTAATTGTCTGAGAGAAAATCCGTACAGTGAATCTGAATTGTGTTTATTATGTTTCATATCAATGTGACGCATTTTGGTTTTTCCCTCGTAGAATGAAGTTCCCATCCTCTGTGTCACCTGCAACTGTGCATTTCCATCCCGAAATAAGCTGTTTGAACACCTAAAAGCCACAGGACATGCAAAAGCAACACAAGCACCACCTGTAAATGGAGCTGTAAGTGCCAGAAGCAAAAAAGAGAAACGCAAGAACAGATAGAACTTTGTCTTCCAAATCATAAATGAAAACTCTTCCAAAGAGGAAAGTTGCACATTGCCTGTGTTTGGAGTTAAATTAGAAAAAGCAAGTCCTAATTTTGGGGGAAAAAAAAAAAAAAAGGAAAATGCAACGAAAGGAACCTGTGCTTTCTTTTGGTTTCATTAGCCTTTCTTTAATGACTGGATTTGCTGTACCATCTTTGCAGCTGTCATGCTAGGGGTGGTTTCCACGTTGGGGATGGGGAAGTAGCATTTCAAAGCTTCTCCCCTTGCATTTCTGTTGAAACTTGCACAGATAACCTACCCATACCGAAGAAATAAATTATTTTAACACTTGTCTTGCTGCTTTTCGTTTGAGAGGCATTAGCTCAGAGTGCATGTGGCCAGTAGGAGGGGCCTGTGCTGCTTTTATGTTCCATCACAGATGAAATGTCACCAAGACATGGAAAAACAGCCTTTTCTGCCATCCCTAAGGGCAGAACATCAGACAGAAGGGAAGGAGTGAGATGACAAAGCTGGTTAATCAACTTTCACCATTCCTGTTGGTTTTGTGCATCTTCCTCCATGCCTAGTGTTGGAAAAATAAGTCTGGTGGAAGAGCCTTGCTGGAATAATAACTATTTTATTTTTTTTCTGATTTCTGAAAAACAAAATGGGTGTTACACCTCTGTTTAAATGCTTAATCTGCCTGCTCTTAAATAGCACCTAAAACAATCCCAAAACAGGTAGGATAACAAACACCTGATTTTGGAGTGGAAGTAGCTTTTTCACAGGAATTGTCAGTGCAGCTGGAGAATGCAGTGCTCAGCAAGGGCTGTAGTAAAGCGTTGAGGACACCCCTGGTGTGTAATTTTCCAGGACCATTGTTCTTGCATTAACCACATACCTCTCAAGTTTCAACTCGTCACGCCAACTGGCAGAACAGTCTCCATACCTCCCACAAGCTGATATGGTTCCTTTACTGGGCCAAGGAAATTACTCCAATGTAAGAGCTTGAATGAAAAATACAATCATAAAGGTACCATTCTTACTGACCCAATGTCATTTTTTTGTTGGAAACTGAAGGAGGTAATGAATTTCTCTAATTAGAAACTTCTCAATTTCTGTGTGCACATAGTTTTTTTTTTTAATCATGGTCTAATTACAGTGTATTTTTGTAGTAAGTGTAAACAGTTTTAACTCTGAAACCTCCAGTTATGTTCTGCTCAGGATGGTTCCCAGTCAGAGACCAACTGTGCATATCTCATAGACTGAATCCAGCAGCATTACTTTTTAACTTATTTTTAAATAATTATTTAAATAAAACCAAATACTTAATAATTTGTGTGTTTTACAACCGCTTGTATATATTAGGGGTAAATGGCAAGGTTTTGGTAGCAGGGGTGGGGACAGAAGCAGTGGAAATGTAGCTGTGAACCAGCAGTAACCGCTAGGGCACCGGGGGAAGACACAGCCCAAGCAGGAGGCAGCACTCAAAGCAGCACTGGTGCCACCCCCCAGGGGCCTGTGGATGCTACGAAGTCCAAACAGCATTTACACACCCAAAACAGCTTTATTCATTTGTTGATACTCTTATCGATTTTGTTATGACTGACACAGATGACAGGTGAGTATGTGCCGGCTGATACAGTGTATTTTTATGCTAATGCTAGTGTAGGTGTGCAGCTAGTGCACAGCACCACTATAGAACAGACCTGTATGTTTACAAAATAGATTACAGATTATTCTTGATTAAACATTGAGTCAGTTGGCATGCTCTTGTGATGCTAAACATATCAGACTGATTTTTTTATCCGTGTTAGATTAGTGCAATCTGGGTATCACTAGGGCTTCTTTGTGGACCTCATGGAACTCAAGTTATTTGGCAGCTCTTTCCATGTGTCTCTGTAAAGCAGTATGAAATACTTCCACAGCAAAGTCAACGTCCTTCTTAGTAATGCACATAGGAGGTTTAATTCTAAATGTCTAAGGAGAGAGAGAGAGAAAAAAATCCTTTTAATTGTATGGCAAGAATAGTTTCTATCAGCCCGTCTAGATCAGCACTCGCCTGCCCCCCCAAAATCTAACCAAAAGTATGAGAAATAGTATGTAACAGAACAAGGACTGAGGCATCTGATAAAGGCATTCTGAAATGGAGCAATTTTGGACTTTCCTGCATCCAACTCTCCACCCTGCTCCTGCGACAAAGCAACTGCCTCCAGAAGAGGCCTGACTAGAGGAGGCTGAGCTTGCAGGGCTGTTGCTCCAGACAGAGCTGGTGTAAAACCTTAGACAGTTTGTACCAAGAAAGAAGAGAGCTGCAGGTGTCTTTTGCTTTCTGGCAGTTCTGCACCACAGGGAGAAGTGGTGCCTATTGAGAGCATCAGCTTCTCATGTTGTGTCAGCTGATCTGCTATTACATTACAACCTTTGTTGAAGGCTTCTAAGACAATACATGATGAAAAAAAATCACTAAACTCCAGCATTCATTTAGGGTACTATAGCTTGAATGCACATTTATCAGAATGGGCTATGCAGTTTAACATGTTCCTAAATATCAATGTTTGATCTATATTATAACAATTCCAAGAGTATTTAACTTCTGAAAGAATCTTCAACTTTCAGTTTAGATTTTTCTGTCATCACATCACAGGACTTCATACAGCAGGAGTAGAGTAACGTTCTTTCCTACCCACAGCCCCAGCTGAATCTCACACTAATAGATAACAGCATGCTTGTAAGACAGAACCAGATTTTTCTACACACTGAGCTGCAGCCTGTGACCTGTGTTCTGGTCTGTGACTTGTGGAAGAACCAATGACAGATGCAGCTTCCTATTTATTTTAGCCACCATACATCTCCCTCCTACAGAAGCTGCTTCCTCTGTGCCAGAGGGCTTCACTGAGCTGGCCAGCCCTGAGGCTATTCTCTGCGACTGACTTATATGCTGTAAGAAGCTGGTGATGCAGTACCCTGGGAACAGCACAGTGCATCTTCAGTTGCTCTATGCTGATGCCCATTGACATGCAATTCCCAATTTTGTGCTGCGTTGCTGAACTTGCTATTAACAACTTTTTAATTTTTTTAATTACAATACAGGTACAATGTTACCAGCTCTCCAAACAGAAAGAACTAGCAAGACTTGTTCTGTACCCACAGGTCCAGTGATAATCTAAACAGTTGCTAAGACTCAGCAGATCCAAATACTGCTGATTTCTTCTACTTTGCTTTTCTAGGGGAGGTTGTCCCTCTAGAGAAAACCTGCAAGCTTAGGGCTAGTTCAGCATACTTGAACAAAACCAAACATCTCCTACCTGATTTGCAAATTATGCTGAATGACACAGCTAGTTCCTAAGAATACAAGTTGTCTAGTTTATTTACTAAAATAAAGTTCATTTAGCTTGAGACTAACAGGATACAGTTTATGAGGGCAGAAAAGAAGCTTTATGTATAACCTGAGTTTCAGTACCTGACTATAGAGTCCTCCTCTGCCGATGAGAACCCCCATGTCTTTACAGTCCTCCCAGATCTGGCTCATTTCTTCAGCTGGAAGAGGGTGACGACTGTCCTAAGGGAAGTGAATACTAAACTTCACTTAGATATTCTAAATTAGTTCTACAAAAAAAGATGTATGTTCCATTGTCTCCAACAAATCCCACCCCCCTATCTGGCTGAACACATTGGCTGCGTAATTTATCTAAGATGAGTTTCTGCAGTTAAGTTATGCAAGTCACTGTTTACTCAATGCTTGTGAAATATTTGAATTGCTGGAATGTCCTGGCTCATTTTTAGCCAGAGCAATGTTTTATCACTTCACTAGCTGTGCAAATCTTCCTATTATTTAAGCTGAAATAAGTGTGACAAAACTTTCAACAGCACTGTAAGCTGAAAGGAATAAAGTAGAACACCGACCTTATCCTTCACCATTTCTACTCCAATCATAAGTCCCTTTCCACGAACATCTCCAACAATCTCAAATTTATCCCGTAGTTTAGCCAACTCCAGTAGCATGTATGTTCCCACCTCCTTACTGTTTTTCTGCAGACCATCTTCTTCAATAGCCTGGTTAAAATGATGAACAGGAACAGTTTTAGAAGATAAACTTCCAATGCTGTTGGTTAATCCCTAATTAGCTGGATGACATACTATGTTTATCTCACTTCCTTGCAGACTATGTTCCATCACTACTACAGTCCTTAGGTCTTCTCCTACAATCCTCTAATGGCATCAGGATACAACTAAACAGATTTTGATGTTGCTGTGGCATTTTTCACATTTTACTTCTCACTCCATAAACAGTCCAGTAATGCTTGTGGTCACAACTGAATAATACATCAACAGCAGGATAATTTTCAAAACCTTACCAGAAATATTTTAGTTCTTTCTCCAGTATCATGAGAAGACTAGATTCATGAACACCACACTTTTTAATCACAAGCTTTTTTTTTTGTTGTTCTTTACTTACCTCTTCTTAATCAAAGTTCTGACATGCAGCCAGCTGTCAGCACTGACATACACAAACTGCTTTGTGAGCTTAATATTTGCAATAAGAGCATTCACATGAAAACAAAACAAAATAAACAAAAAAACCCAATTACAGAACTCAAAGTGGGTGCTGCTCTTTTTTTTTTTTTTCCTTTTTTTTCCCCCATTCCTCAGCTTTCTTTGATTTACACCCTTGCTGGTCTACTGTTTTGAGAAGCCGACGTTGTGGAATCCTTAAGTCATCTGTGACCTAGGTCACTACAGACAGGAGTAATTTAGTAAAAGTATTAATTGAAACTCTTCTGGCAAGCCCTACTTCTGCAGATGAAGTTACACATCAGACCTACACAGACTGCAACTACACTTCCAAACTTCTTAAGAACCAATTTTTTCTTGACTTTTCATGTTCCTAGTCAATAAACTGGTCTTCTTTTTTCTTTCTTTTTTTTTTTTTTTTTTTCCCCTTTCATTTCAACTTTGTTTTAGTCTTCCTGACTCGGATAACCTCCTTGGACTTTTTTCATATCCAGGCTCCAA